AGAAGAGACATACGTGCACAGATCTGGGTGAGCTGCGCAGTTACCTTGGCTTGCAGATCACCCGGGACAGAGCACGCCGCACCATCACACTGACTCAGTCACACATGGTGCAGCAGGTCCTTCAGCGCTTCGGCTTCACCTGGTCCTCAGCACAGGCCACTCCTCTGGCGACAGGTCACTCGCTCTGAGCTCCACCTTCGGACGAGTCCGTAGAGCCGAGTGGTCCTTACCCAGAGCTAGTTGGCTGCCTCATGTACCTGATGACTTGCACTCGTCCAGACCTCGCGTACCCTCTAGGCCTTCTGGCTCGCTACGTGGCTCCTGGTAGGCACCGAAAGGTGCACATGGATGCTGCTAAGAGGGTGCTGCGTTACTTGTGCAGTACATCGGGCATGGGGCTCGTGCTTGGAGGACGGGGCGACGTTGTCCTCACTGGGCACTCAGACGCTTCTTGGGTTGACGACCAGGCTACGCAGCGGTCGTCACAGGGTTACACCTTCAGCCTTGGCTCCGGCTCTGTTTCTTGGCGTTCTACTCGCTCGTCTTCTGTTCTCAGCTCCAATTGTGAGGCTGAGATCTACGCCACAGCCATGGCTGCACAGGAGTTGCGCTGGCTCACCTACCTGCTGACCGACCTGGGAGAGCGGCCTCGTTCTCCTCCAGTGCTGTACGTCGACAACAAGGCTGCCATTGCCTTGTGTGAGGAGCACAGACTGGAGCACAGAACGAAGCACATCGCTCTACGTTACTTCCTGGCTCGAGAGTTGCAGCAGCGAGGGCAGCTTCATCTCCGTCACGTGGACACTTCGGCCAACACTGCTGATATATTCACCAAGGCACTTCCGTCTGGTGATCATCAGCGCTTTTGTACCTTGTTGGGCCTTGTGCCGACGTTTCCACACTTGCTGTAGTCTCTGCTTGTACTGTGATCTATATACATATACCTGCATGCTTGCTCTTGCTAGCTTGAGATCACTGTACTGTTCTTGTTGCTTATATACCTCTGCATGTGGACTGGCCCTGTGGCCGTTTGCTTGTGCTCAGTTTGAGTGGTGACGTTGTGATCCACCCTGAGCTGTGTTTTGTCTCTTGACTGGTCTTGTGACCGTTGCTTGCTCTGGCTATCCCCCATTTCACCTATGGGGGTGTGTCAAATATATACATATATTATTATCTAGGTTGTATTGGGGATAGCTCTAGGGGGTACAAACATTTCTCTCGTCACTCTCTTTCTTGTACCCCAAACCTTGACCTAACTCATCATTCTTTGCCTAGGCATCTATGGCTTCTTAACAATTTGTTGCAACTAAGGCTGTCGCAACAGCACACCAGGTTGACGGTTTTCAGTTCGACGGATATCCGCTTTCTCGCGGTAAGCATGCACCCATTTAGCGATCGAGTATTCAGTTTCTGGCTGCGTGTATTGTGTTTGCAACTGCTCGTTATGTTCATTTCCTGTTTTAAGTGTTCACGGTAGGCTAAACATTTCTCTATTGGTATGTGGCAAAATCTGCCATCCCTAACCCATCTAGATTTGTAACTGCAAGTTGTTTTTGCATGTTTTGCAGGGTGTATCTGTTGATGCAGGCTTATCTTCACCCAGAATTGCATGCTGTATTTTTTTGGCCACTACTGCGTTCTTCTAACCCCAATGACAGTATACGGTGAGTAAAATTGCATACGGTACTTGATTTGCATGCTTCACAAGCTTTAACTTGCTACGTTTTCTTGCAGGCAATATCAAGATTGCAGCACCAATTGTTACATCCTGGTTTTTTGCAATGGTGATAGAATAGTAACAGTGCTTGTATGGGGCGTATTGGTATTTTGTATGCAGACGTGTTATATTTGTGGGAGAAATTATCTGCATTTCATTATGAATTTCAACAAAAATGAAGCTCGAATCTAAATCGTGGCCAATAATAATGATCTAATCGACAGCCAATATGAGGTCGTTACCGCACACCAAAAGTGCACTCTGATTGGTCGATAAGACGCGCTCACGCCCGTCGATTTTAATCTAATCCGACGGCTGCCGTCGGAGTACGATGACAGCCACGTCAGCATGTTTCAGTTTTATCTAAAATAGGTCGTATGCCACGTGGCGCTGTCGTGACACTTTCGCGTAGGTTGCTCAAGGGTGACGTTTTCCACCCCCCTAGTTGCTTTACAGTATACCACACAATTGCATCGAAGTGTACAGTTTGTATCGGGAAAGTGACGGGAAAGTCACTTCGCAAGTTACTGACGCTACCACTGTTTACGAGTCAAACTTTTTTCTTGCGCGGAAAATGTAACTGGAAAGTTGTGAAACCGAAACTTTTAGGTTTTTTTTCGCACTTCCCTTTTCCGCGAAGTTGGGCTCATTTCAGTGAAAGATGGCCCCGGAAATGTCACTTGTTTTGATCTGTTAACAATTGTTGAGACGCGTCAGACTTACCATTAAGCTGAGCGTACTGGGAAGAACTAGCCTCAGTCTAATAAAGATCCCGAATAGTACTAGCAGGCATCTCAAAAGAGCCATGGTTCTCTCCCTACAATGGCGAAAATGCGTTTACCTGAGCTTGGGGAAATCAGAGGGGAAAGTATGTGCTGGCTACTACCTTTTCCCGACCCTCCCATATTCACTCACAGGGTTTACTCAATCAGTCTCACTCATGGCGATTTCGTTCAACCGACCTCCCACATTATGTTCAAAGTCACTACTGCTGGCGAAATTTTCCGACACGTGGCAACTTCTTTGCAGACTGACGCACTTCTGTTCCAGAACAAACCGATTTTGGCATTTACTGCCCACCAACTGCTTTTTCTGGTGGGCTCGAAATTGAGGCCCGCCCCTGCTGTAGATTCGCCCAGCTGGCGAAAAAACTGTGGGCTGGCACTGTTGCCGAACCCCACACCCCCCAAACAGAACCGTAAACGCGCCCCAGCCCGCCCCTTCCCCTTCCCTCCCTCTCACGAGAGGCAGAAGTGTACTAGCATGTTATTGTTTAACATAAATTGCTCAGTAAGTTGTCATTCTCCTTCTACTTGATGGTTTAGAGGGTGGAATAAACTGCATGTATGGAATCATTCTCAAATCTATATCCAGTCAATCTCTATACACTGCATAACACTTCTATGATAAGAAATTATATGTAGCGAAACCATTTGCAAAACAGAGGTAACTGAAACTACTTATGCTAAGCACTTGGTTTATGAATAACCGAAACAGAGATGCTCAACGTTTACTACTGTTATTTTTTTGTCACTAAAACCCTTTAGGAAATAAACAATTTCGGTTTTGCTACACTATGCTTTGGATTATATGGGTGCACAGAGGCAATATGTTTTCTTTGAGTTAAGGGGAACGAGTTTCCCCTGTGTACAATAATCACGGCGGGTCTCATACGCGCTTTTGTTCTTCCCCCATGGGTTATGAATGAGCTTCTACATGAAGTTGCAATCTCGCCTGGTCTGGTCGCATGTTTTTCTAAACTGTATGATTACAGATACGAATCTGTTTTTTATTTATGTCAATTTTGAAATCAAACGGTTTTGCATACAAGTTATTTGAACAGATTACTTTGAGCAAACCGACGTAGTGGGACTAACCGTCCCTCCTCCATTGGTGAGTCAAACTCATACGGGCATCAAATTTTGGTTTCTTAGAGCCTTTCCCCACCGTATCTTGCAACAAGCGCACCTTACGTATGGTTTAGAGTGTGAATTAACGCACAAGTAGATCGATCATATTAAATTTGTGGCAGATGGTTTGCATATTGTAGCGTAAGATCTTGCCGTTGGGATAATTTAACAACTGTACAACATGGCAGTGCCTTCTAATAACCCACATGCCCCTTAACAAACGTCCAACTGGATATAGGCAAATACTCCACTCATCGAGGCGACAACTCTCTCTCGGTCTTGTTTGTTGTACCATGCAACTATTGTAATGGAAAACTGTTGGATACATGCAGGCCATATCCCTAAATATCGTAGGAGTCGGATTTCCTTCCAAAAAGCATGGACAATGAGGGTGTAACGACACTGCGTCTCAGACGGGTACTCTTCAGCGTTCACTGAAATAGCCAGAGGGTGGGTTTCACATGCAAGTTGAAGGTGAATATAAGAAAATTACAGGTCACAGTGGAAATAGGAAATGTTGGGAAAGGGAAAAGGGATAAGACAGGTAGAGGGTATACAGGGTAAGGAGGAAGGAAGAGGGGGGCGAGGGAACCGAGGAGAGAAAAAAAGGGGGAGGAGGGAGTGGGGGAGACATGGGAGATGGGGAAGAGATGACGAGGGGAGAGAGGGAAAGAAGTTGGAGGACAAGCGGAGAGAGAGTATCTGAGAGATAGACAAGAGTGGGAACAGTAATAGTGGAAGAGAGGGGAAGGAGGGCATTAAACCAAGTGTATTCTTAGCACCAATTGTTACCTGCTGTCCCCAATTGTCCCCATGTTGTTGAGCGCGTGCAACATGACGACGCTCTTGTGCCTCTTCAGCATGTGGGCGCTGTGCCATCTGCTCATGTGTCCGTTTCGAACGCTGCTGCCTCCTCTGATAAAGGCGGCGCTGTCTGCTTAGCCTCTGCTGCTCTTTTCGCTGCAAAGATTCACTCAACCCTAAAACATCCTCCTGGTGTTCCCCTCCATCATCATTGCTCCTGTGTCCGTCCATCCTCATACCATGTTGATGCTCGGTCTGCACTTCCCTTGATGGCACATCCTGCCTGTGGGTTTGTTGCTCGTCTGCATCACCCACCTCCGCCTGATGAGCCACCTGGCACTGCTGTCGCATCCGTGCCAGCCTCCGCCGTCGTTCTCCGATCACACTCTCCACAGTCCGTGGCTGTACACCAGCAATTGTTGCAGAGAGACCTGCGCCTCGCCTTAGCATACTCATCCCTCCCCTTCCTCCCCTTCCTCCCCTTCCTCCCCTTCCTCCCCTTCCTCCACTCCCACCCCTCCCTTCGCAATGCCACACGTGTGGTGCATCTGGCCTTTGCTCACCTGCCCTCATACTTCCTTGAGACGGACCAGCCCCCATCCCTCTTTGACAAGCCCCCATCCCTCCTTGAGAACTCCCCATCCCTCCTTGAGAAGCACCAGCCCCCATCCCTCCTTGAGAACTCCCCATCCCTCCTTGAGAAGCACCAGCCCCCATCCCTCCTTGAAAACTCCCCATCCATCCTTGAGAAGCACCAGCCCCCATCCCTCCTTGAGAACTCCCCATTTCTCCTTGAGAAGCACCAGCCCCCATCCCTCCTTGAGAACGCCCCATCTCTCCTTGAGAACGCCCCATCCCTCCTTGAGAAGCACCAGCCTCCATCCCTCCTTGAGAACTCCCCATTTCTCCTTGAGAAGCACCAGCCCCCATCCCTCCTTGAGAACGCCCCATCCCTCCTTGAGAAGCACCAGTCCCCATCCCTCCTTGAGAACTCCCCATCCCTCCTTGAGAAGCACCAGCCCCCATCCCTCCTTGAGAACTCCCCATCCATCCTTGAGAAGCACCAGCCCCCATCCCTCCTTGAGAACTCCCCATCCCTCCTTGAGAACTCCCCATCCCTCCTTGAGAACTCCCCATCCCTCCTTGAGAAGGAAAAGGACCTTGCTCCTCCTCCACACCTCCCACCACACCTTCAGCAGTGAAACTATCTCTGACATTGTTGGCAGATGAGTCCCGTGCAGGGGTTATCCCAGACCTTCCTCTGCCACCCCTGCCACCCCTGCCACCCCTGCCACCCCTGCCACCCCTGCCACCCCGTCCACCCCTTCCACCCCTTCCACCGCGTCCACCCCTTCCACCCCTTCCACCCATTTTTCCCCTTCCTCCCCTTCCCCCTCTCACTCCTCCGCCTCTCGTGCCTCCAGTTTCAACCATTCCGTCAAGCTCTCCTCTCCCACCTCTTTCAAAAGCGTTTGCTGCTGCAGCACAAGGCTCAACATTCAATCTGGCCCCCTCCTCCCCATCATCCCCCTCCTCAGAACGTCCTTCCTCATCCCCACTTTCCACCCTCTTTTCACCAGAGGTCCCCGGTCTCACCTCAGTAACATCATCAACACTCTGATGGATGTGAGGATATACTCGTTCAAATAGCTCCACCATCGGTAGATTTGAATTGTCGTTGGCCGAATTTTCCACTGAAGCATTCTGCTCCTCGCCTTGTTCCTCAAGCTCATCGTTTTCCTCCTCCGACCCATCCACATCCTCCGTATCCTCCCCACCATCTGATTGCACATCGTTCTCTCCATTAGTCTCCCTCGGGCGTTGTGCATCGCGTTCTCGTTGCTCCCTCAAAGGTGCGCAAAAGATTGCAGTGCATTTCACCACAAGCATTGCATGCGGCAAGTCTCACAGGTGCTTCAGCTTGGGTGGCTGTTTGCACGTTCAAGTGGCCTTCTGGAGATCGCATTGCCTCCCATATGGCATTGCGTTGCGCACGCAAATCACAGGTCTGCCGATTATGTCCTTTCTCACCACACTTTCCACATTTCAGCAACTTCCTCCCATCTACTTCACCATGAGACCTAAGCCTAACAACTGGAGGCCTCCCAGTCTTCTTTGGGTACAATGGTGGCAAGGTTTCACGATCAAGAAACAAACTCGGTAGGGTCTAGACTTTCAAATGCCATGCTGTAGACTTGCCTAAGAGCAGATGGGGTGTAGACGCGATCAACCACATCCATAGCACGAGATGCAGAACCATGCTTGCTGAATGCAGCGAAGATGTGGACACACGGCAAGCCATACTCGCTGCAATATGGGAAACAGGGTGAGCAGTGAAGGGCACATGATAAGTATGAAGTGGTTGAGTAGCAACAGTCACTCATGAATAGTGGTGGAGAGATGCAAGGTTCAAGGCGTTGTATGCACATACCGTGTGTAGTTGCAGGAGCACACTGATTTCGTGGGCTCGTGAAGATCGATGCGCACCCGCCTTTGCTCGTTTCCACTGCGACGTGTGACCTTGTACGAGAGCTGATGACTGCTCATTGGGTCGTTTAGCTGCCCATATGTCTTCTGCATGTCACACAATAAGGTGGCCTCGTTCTGGATAAAAGATAGTAGGACTTGAGCTGGGTTTTGTCTCCTCACTCTACGCATCGTCGCATGGTGTGACTCCACAGGATTAGAGGAGTAACATCCAAATCGAGGTGCCGCGAAGAATGCTGCTGCCCACTTAGCAGACAAGCCATCTTTCTCCAAATACTCCTTCCCCCCCGGACACTCTGCCTCAATTTTTTCCATCATCCCTCTATAAACGTCCCGTGTCAAGGCAAACGCAGCCTGCTCAATCTTGCCATCCACGGTCGAGCCAAACTTGGAGTTAAAATTCCGGGTGATATGAGTAATGCAGAAAGCCTCCCGGATGAGAGGCATCATGCGTAGCTTGGCTGCCTTCCATGCCTTCCACGGTCATGCATTAGTGTAAACTTTGGAGAATTAAGTTCAGGGACAGCTTCGAGCAGTAGCTGCAAAAAGTAAGCACATGAATCCCCATTCTCTCCCTCAACCCATGCACTCCCCATCCTTACGAGCTTGTGTTCACAGTCTACAAGCACAGCATTGAGTGTGCAACCACCCCATACTCCTTTGTTGTGACAACCGTCGACAAAAACAATGGGAAAACAATTCAGAGCTGCAACTCTAGCCCCCGGATATGTCATCCTTGCCCTAGCAAACATGGTGCCTTGCCTCATCATAGACACTACACTAGTCGGATTGTCTCTCTTGAAAATACTTAAGATACTTCGCATGTACTGAAAACCATCATCACCAGCGAGGGGATCCTCCGTGTTTACCTCATTGATAGATGTATTAGCTGTGTTGTATGAGCAGCTAGTTCCAAGGTGCTCCTGCACGAGCTTTTGAAGCCCATGAGGCCTTAGATCCCCATGTGGCATGACGGCTCTAGCAATAAATTTGACCTCTGATCTTCGCACCGTTCCTGGGCCAGCGGCGCACCTAGTGAGATGCTGCAGGCAGGACTCTCTAATGCTAAACTGGCAACCACGGGGACCCCTAGCAAGTATGCGGAACGGACATGCGTCCCGGGGATGCTCGGCCCCCTTCTCTGGCCATGGTCGACCTTCCATAGACTTACAGCGCGCTTCAAGGCGCACTGCGTCATTAAGTGCCCAATAAATGCCCCGTTTCTTCTGGCTTGCATACCTTCGAATTGCTTCTCGGGCATCTTGAACAGATTGGAAGACCGTCCCCACAGCAAAATCAGACTCAGTAAGGCTGTGCGTCCCAAACCTGGTGCTGAAATTCACTCAACAACGGCAATGACATGGATTGTGGGTCGCAGTACGGGAGGAAGTTGAGCATTAGAGAACGGAATGGAGGTAGCTAAGCTAAGGGTGTGTGGCAATTACATGTGATCTAGCAAGTTTATTCTTGACAATGAAATTTTGGACCTGGAACACAGGGCAAGGATGGAGATTTAACCACAAAGAAAAGGACCAAGATGACGACTGGATAGTGAGAATGTTGGGGAGAAGCAAGTAAAGGAGGGAGCTATATGAAATATAAGGTTCTAAACAAGGTTTGTACTGTTAAGTGCAGTCAAACATAGTACGAAGGTGTTATTACTTTGAACCAACCCCATGGAACATTTCAGGTTCGAGGATTAGAGCCACAGCTGATTAGGGACATGACTGCACGACGGTTTGGAGAGACGGATGATGTGCAGGACTTGAGGCATTGAGGGGCCTGATTAGAAACCAGAAGACAGGACCGTGGGGAGAAATTGCAGCACGGGCAGGGTAGGTTGTAAAATGAGTGGATAGGGATGTTCGCATGCGGTCAACAACAAATTAACAAATGTAATACCGACAATGAGCATTACTAGTTTGCTAGGCCAAGGGCAATGGCGCCACGTGCATTGACGCCAAGGGTTTAGGCGCCACGCACATTGGCGCAATGCGCATTAGCGCCAAGGGCAATGGCGCCAATGTTCTTGGTGCCACGCCCATTTGCGCAATGCGCATTAGTAGCGCCAAGGGCAATGGGGCCAGGCGAGTCAACAGAAACGCAAAGGGCGCTACAGGTGCTGGCCCTAAGATGCTCGCGCCTATGGCGTCTCGGCCATTAGCGCCACGGGCATTGGCAGCATGGCGGGGAGCCTAAGGCGCCTTCATAGCATCGCTAAATGCATGACGCAAATGGATGCACTCACAAAGTCTTGACGGTTAAGATATGAAATGGCTGCACATGCCGTCGATCGCGGTCCCCATGTCGATCAATTACTAATCCGCAGACTTGTTGAGTTTACGATTTACCCCAACTCGAGTTAAATATTGCAGAAATGTCGATGCATTAAGATGCCATTGGTGATAGGAAACCCTAATTTTGGATCTAGCACGAGGCATAGTGGTTGCTGATCATGAGAGGGAGGGAAGGGTTACGGTTCCTGGAGTGGATGCGCTGGGGCAGGGGTGGACTGGGGCGCGTTTACGGTTCTGTTTGGGGGGTGTGGGGTTCGGCAACAGTGCCAGCCCACAGTTTTTTCGCCAGCTGGGCGAATCTACAGCAGGGGCGGGCCTCAATTTCGAGCCCACCAGAAAAAGCAGTTGGTGGGCAGTAAATGCCAAAATCGGTTTGTTCTGGAACAGAAGTGCGTCAGTCTGCAAAGAAGTTGCCACGTGTCGGAAAATTTCGCCAGCAGTAGTGACTTTGAACATAATGTGGGAGGTCGGTTGAACGAAATCGCCATGAGTGAGACTGATTGAGTAAACCCTGTGAGTGAATATGGGAGGGTCGGGAAAAGGTAGTAGCCAGCACATACTTTCCCAAATCAGAGCGAAGCTCGAGACAGGAACATCTCTGGCGGAAGCCACAAGGATGCGAAGAGTAATTCTTCGGGTTAGTACCATTTCGCTCGACTTTTCGTGAAGGATTAGGTGTTTCGCGTTTCAAAGCGGTGTTGCGTGCAAATCGATGTTTACCGTGTGAAAAACGACTGGAACGCACTAAAATAACACACGCGAACGAGGACGACATTCGCCAGGGTTTTAGCGATGTTTGTGGAGACGCGCGAAAACAAGCGAGACACACGTATGTGTCAGCAGAAGCACTCACCAAGGCGACGGTGGCAAGGATGCGAGCGAAATCGCGGATTTTCCCTTGCTGTCGCGGATGCGGATTTTCCCCTTGCTGTCTCGGATGCGGATTTCTCCAAGACAAATAAATGCTGCTGACGTGCTGTGGAAACGTGGAACAACTTGCAAGATAATGATGACGATCACAAGTCCTGAAAGTCGTTGCTCTGAGATAGCCCCTCAAGCTTGAACTCGCTCCTGGTACAAGCATAGCGCTGAAATTATTTGTACACCCTCTTTCGCGCTAACAGAGGTTCTGTTGCAGAACGTACATGGGTTGAACAGCACCACGCTCTAAACGGCCTTATCACCTATGGTAAAGGTACAATTTGTATGAGTGTGGAAAGGATGCACGTTAAAAAATCAGTGTTTTGGAGTTGTGAAATGGTTGAGGAGGGTATTATGCGATAACGGGAATCTTACGCCACAGTGCCAGTCGCCTGGTGAGGGACTGCTACTGCCCAAGCGAGGGATTGCTACCGCCCGAGCGAAAGGTGGAAGTGCAATTATTTTTTGAGTGGGCGCGATGGGAGGGACTGCTACGGCTGAGTGAGGGATCGCTACTGCCCGAGCGAGGGATTGCTACCGCCTGAGCGAAAGGTGGAAGTGCAACTAGTTTTTGAGTGGGCGCGCTGGGAGGGACTGCTACCGACCGCCCGAGCGAGGGATTGCTATTGGATAAGTGAGTGCTACAGTCTGAGTGAGTTTGCAAGGAACAAGTGATAGAGTAAGTAATCTCACGCAAGGGAGTGGTGGAAGTGCATCTGCTTTTTGGGTAGTGCGGTGGGAGGGAGTGCTACCGGCCAAGAGAGCGGTGGAAGTGGATTTGGGAGAGGTGGGCGGCGAGCAGGTGGGCATCCACTGGCTTCTGCAGCACACCGTCAAACCCCCCCTCTGCACACCTCTGCACCACTCCGCGATCCACGTCTGCCGTCAGAGCCACTATGGGCACCCTCAGAGAGGCAGGCCACGCACCAGCAGCAGCACCGCCAGCAATGGCAGCACCAGCAGCAGCACCGCCAGCAACGGCAGCACCAGCAGCAGCACCGCCAGCAACGGCAGCACCAGCAGCTGCACTCAAACAAGTTCTCGAGGCTTCTGGGAGAGAGACGGGCCACGCAAATGCAGCAGCAGCGTTAGAAACTTCTTGGGAAGGGACGGGCAGGGAAGCAGGGGTTTGCGGCTGGCTCTGCTGCTGCAATTCCTGTGCCTTGGAAATGGCTTCAAGTCCCATCCTCTCAAGGTCTCGAATAGCTGCTGCTGCTTCGAAGCTGCCAAAGCAAGAGGGACGGGAGGATGGGTTAGGTTTGCAAACGAAGGAGGCTTGTGAAGAGAAAAGCTTTAGTTCGCACATCATGACCCATCCAGCCATGCCCACCATTCACCACCATTCACCATCACTCACCACCACTCACCCATCCATCCCTGGCATCTGCAGGTCCATGAGAATCAAGTCAAAGCCATGCTGCAACGACGCACCCCCATCCTGCTGCCCTCTCCCCTCCTGCTGCCCTCTCGTCTCCTCTACTCCCCTTCCCTCCTCCTCCCCTCGCACCTCCTGCAAGCCAGCAGCAAGTAAGTCAACAGCCTGCTGGCCATGGATGCCGGTGGTCACAACTGCTTCTTTGCCTATGCCCTCCTCTACCACTCTCCCTTCCACCACGCCAGCACCAAGTAAGCCCACTGCCTGCTGCCCACTGGAGGCGGTGGTGACTCGGGCCCCCCAGTGAGCGAGGGAGCACTCCTGCAAGCCAGCAGCAATCAAGTCCATTGCCTGCTGCCCGGAGGAGGCGGTGGTGACTCGGGCCCCCCAGCGGGAGAGGGAGCGGCGGGCCACGAGGAGGTTGACGGGCGTGTCGTCCACCACTAGCACTCGCAGCCCGCCCACCCACGCCCAAGTCACCGCCTCATCTGCCGCGGCCCACAGGCCGGTACTTGTGGCAGTGGTTTCCACTGCAGACACGTATCGCCGGAGCTTTCTGCTTGCTCTCCCGCTTGACGCACTCGTTGCTGCTCCTGCTCCTTCCTCGAAAACTGCCGAGCGTTCTCCTGCACTGCCCACCCTTTCCAAACCGGCTAGTGATCGCTCATTTTGCTGCCGTGGTTGCTGCTGCGGTTTCTGTGGCTGCAGCTGCTGCTGCTGGTTCAGGTTCTGTTGGACCACCTGGAGATTCTCCTGGCTGTTCTGCGGAAGCAGATTCATCTCTTCGCACTGATCCATTGGTTTTGAACTGTGATTCTGCGCACTGCTGCCAACACCGGAACAAACTCCCAAGCCTGTTTCCTGCTCACAAGCACTGCTGGAACCACCTGGGGAATCACCTGACCCAGTTTCCTGACTCTGCAACTCTTGCGATGCCAACACGACAAGTTCCTCATCTGAGCAGCGTTCTTGTAACGAGCAGTGTTCTTGTGGCGAGGAGTGTTCTTGTAGTGAGGGAACGGCCACCGGCACGGAAAACGCCACAGTGGAGCCACAGCCAGGCTGGGAATGGAAGGCGATTTCTCCCTTCATTAGAGTCACCTGCGCGTTGCAAGAAGAAGGAAAAAAATGCTATCAAAGTCGCATACATTCAAAAGATCTGTCATTGTCATGCCACCATTGCACAGTTGTATGAGTATAATTCCCCAATGCGAGATAGTTTACGCTGCAAATCCCTTAGTCTAAGCTACACACGTGAATGCTCTACCTTCCTGCTGTGATGCTTGCGTGTCGATGTCACTGTTCAGATCACTTCTAACATGAACCGAAAAGAAAAGCAACAGAAATGTTACTCTATATGTGTGTGTGTGCGCGTGCGTACGTGCATGTGCCTGTGTGCGTGTGTGTGTGTGTGTGTGGGCGCGTGCTCGCCGTGTGTGCATGAGTGCGTGCGTGGATGTGTGCTTGTGTGTGCGTGCGGGTGCGTGTTTGGGTGTGTTATATACACTTAAAAAGGTTACAAATCCATACCCACCAAGCTCAAGCACCAGCCGTGTGCACTCAAAAGCAAGTCGCTAAATAAAGAAGAAGAACAAACATCATGAAATCGTAGAAAGCTCACCATCTGGTGCATGAGCACAAGCACAAGTGATGCTTCTGATCCACCCCCTAACTCATGCAACTCCTGACTTTTGAGGAGACACAAAAGGCCACTCACCGTCTGGTGCATAAGCATAAGGCGACTCTTGAGGCGCCCAAAAAGGCAACTCACCATCTGGTGCATGAGCACGAGCCCAAGTGATGCTTCTGATCCACTCCCTAGCTCATGCAACTCCTGAATGGTGGGGGTGCCATGCCATGCCATGCCAGGCAAAGGGGTTACAGCCAGGATGAGATGGGATGGGATGGGATGGGACGGGATGGGATGACATGATGGCATGGGTGGCGTGGGATGGGACCGGATGATATGATGGCATGGGGTGGCTTGGGATGGTGTTAGAGCCTCTCCCCTGCCCCAGGGTTGGAGCAGAGACGGTGAGTTGACTTTTGAGTCGACTCAAAAGATGGCATGGGGTGGCGTGGGATGGTGTTAAAGCCTCCCTTTTGAGGCGCCTCAAAAGTGGGATGGTGTTAGAGCCTCTCCCCCGCCCCAGGGTTGGAGCAGAGACGGTGAGTTGACTTTTGAGTCGACTCAAAAGATGGCATGGGGTGGCGTGGGATGGTGTTAAAGCTGCCCATCTGGACATGGATGGCATGGGGTGGCGTGGGATGGTGTTAAAGCATGGGAATATCAACTCCCTGCAAGGGAGAAGGGCGAAGGCTGCCCATCCACTGTGGACTACAAGCAGAGACGGTGGCAGGCAGGGAGCATTTCGAATGTCAGCACGGCACCACCAGCAACGTTAAAGCGAATAACAACCCATGCGAGGGAGAAGGGCGAAGGCCCGCCCGTCCGCTGTGGACTACAAGCAGCGACGGTGGCAGGCCTTGTCAATGGAGGGATGGTGGGCTGCAGAGGCCTTACTTCCATCAACTTGAAGCCATTTGGGTTTATTCTGAGGCGCCTCAAAATCAACTTGAAGCCATTCGGGTTTTTTTTTAGGCGCCTCAAAATCAACTTGAAGCCATTCGAGTTTATTCTGAGGCGCCTCAAAATCAACTTGAAGCCATTCATTCACCTTGGGCCCGAGCAGGAGGGCGAACACCTGCTCGGTTCACCACGAACATGTTTGTGGCGAACCGAACACTTATAAGTTTTTGGCCTAAAGTGTTTGGGGCAAACATGTTCGCGTTCGGTTTTTGAGGCGCCTCAAAAGTCCAAACACCTCTAAATTTTTGGCTTTAAGTGTTTGGGTCAAACATGTTCGCGTTCGGTTCGCCGCGGCCAGCCGAGCCGCTATGAACACAGACACATTCGTGTTCGTCTGAGGGTGTCAACGAACACAAAAGTGTTCGCCGCCGCGGCCAACATTTTTAGGTCGCGGGACATTCATTTTGAGCTCAAACCTTGACGGTCCTCCCAACCACAGCCCATACTCGCACCGGCAACACCAAGCACCAGCCTAAACTACACAAATAGGGTAGCGTAGTTAGTGGGAAAATGGATAGGATTTAGGTAAAAGTGCCATTTGGGGTTTACGCCAATGGGAATCCACCAACCCCTGCTGAAATCATAGGCGGATATAACATCAGGCCAGATAAGGGCTGTAAACTAGTCAATGTGACTATATCGAGGGCTGTGACAGGCGAGCACGAACATGTTCGCCAAGAACATGTTGATGCTCGCGGCGAACATGAAAGTGTTGGCCCCTAGGGGCAAGCAGCGAACACCCTTTTCCCTGGAAGTGCTCGCGGCGAACTGAACACTGTTTGGTTCGCCCAGGTGACATGTTTGTGTTCGCGCCCGAGGTGACTTTTGAGTCGACTCAAAAGTCACTTCGCCCAGGTGACATGTTTGTGTTCGCCCAGGTGACATGTTTGTGTTCGCGCCCTGCTCATGCCTAATTCACCCTCGTTGCGAGCGAAAAGAGGTGAAGCCTCCCTGTTGCTGTGGACTCCATGTAGAGAGGGTGGCAGGCCGCATTTCGAATCCCTCATCCCACATGCCAAGCCAGCAGCAGTAGCCATGCATTCCCACTCACTGCAGGCGAGAATTGCGATGCCTCCCTGCTGCCTTGAGCTCTGAGCAGAGACGTTGGCAGGCCGCACCCCGAATCCCGGCACGACACCAGCAGCACAGCCAACCACTGCCCATTCCCGTGGACTCCCAAGACTCCAAGAGAGACGTTGGCAGGCCGCACCCCGAATCCCGGCACGACACCAGCAGCACAGCCAACCACTGCCCATTCCCGTGGACTCCCAAGACTCCAAGAGAGACGTTGGCAGGCCGCACCCCGAATCCCGGCACGACACCAGCAGCACAGCCAATCACTGCCCATTCCCGTGGACTCCCAAGACTCCAAGAGAGACGTTGGCAGGCCGCAACCCGAATCCCGGCACGACACCAGCAGCACAGCCAACCACTGCCCATTCCCGTGGACTCCCAAGACTCCAAGAGAGACGTTGGCAGGCCGCACCCCGAATCCCGGCACGACACCAGCAGCACAGCCAACCACTGCCCATTCCCGTGGACTCCCAAGACTCCAAGAGAGACGTTGGCATGCCGCACCCCGAATCCCGGCACGACACCAGCAGCACAGCCAACCACTGCCCATTCCCGTGGACTCCCAAGACTCCAAGAGAGACGTTGGCAGGCCGCACCCCGAATCCCGGCACGACACCAGCAGCACAGCCAACCACTGCCCATTCCCGTGGACTCCCAAGACTCCAAGAGAGACGTTGGCAGGCCGCACCCCGAATCCCGGCACGACACCAGCAGCACAGCCAACCACTGCCCACTCCCGTGGACTCCCAAGACTCCAAGAGAGACGCTGGCAGGCCGCACCCCGAATCCCGGCACGACACCAGCAGCACAGCCAACCACTGCCCATTCCCGTGGACTCCCAAGACTCCAAGAGAGACGTTGGCAGGCCGCACCCCGAATCCCGGCACGACACCAGCAGCACAGCCAACCACTGCCCATTCCCGTGGACTCCCAAGACTCCAAGAGAGACGTTGGCAGGCCGCACCCCGAATCCCGGCACGACACCAGCAGCACAGCCAACCACTGCCCATTCCCGTGGACTCCCAAGACTCCAAGAGAGACGTTGGCAGGCCGCACCCCGAATCCCGGCACGACACCAGCAGCACAGCCAACCACTGCCCATTCCCGTGGACTCCCAAGACTCCAAGAGAGACGTTGGCAGGCCGCACCCCGAATCCCGGCACGACACCAGCAGCACAGCCAACCACTGCCCATTCCCGTGGACTCCCAAGACTCCAAGAGAGACGTTGGCAGGCCGCACCCCGAATCCCGGCACGACACCAGCAGCAACGGGAGAGCTGATAACAACTACTTACTGCGAGAGAGAAGCGCGAAGGCTGCCCCCTGCTGTGGACGCCCAAGAGAGACGGAGGCAGGCCGCACCCCGTATCCCGGCACGACACCAGCAGCACAGCCAACCGCTGCCCATTCTCCCACTCACGACTCCTGGCATTCCCCCTCCCCTCCCTCGATCCACGTAGTATGTTGCTGCTCTTGCTGCTGCTGCTGCTGCTGCTGCTGCTGCTGCTGCTGCTGCTGCTGCTGCTGCTGCTGCTGCTGCTGCTGCTGCTGCTGCTGCTGCTGCTACTGCTGGAAGCGCCCGTGTTGTGGTAACACCTTTCAGCCAGCGGAAAGTAGAGAAAGTCCAGGCAGCAGTCGAGCTGGTGAGAGCGGGCGTGGGTGCGTGAGGGGTGGCTGTGGAAAGGCCTGGAGGAGGCGCAAGGGCGGTGGGAGAAGGGTAACAGCGGGAGAGGGAACGAGCAACGGAGTAACAGAGTGAGCGAAGCTTATTCATATAACAATGAAATCGCTTCTGAGAAATCCCAAAAGTGGTTTCAACGTAACAGAGTGAGCGAAGCTTATTCACGTACCAAGCTCTCAAATGGGAATGTAAATGCTCGCGCAGTTTCTTACCCTGGCAATGAAGGGCGTCTTGCAAACTTGTCCCTCGTGGCACCAGCGACACCCGAACTGTCACATGGCCTTTCTCTGTGAACTTCACTGCGTTATCTGAAAGGAGACCAAGGTGGTGGTAGTTAACTTCATTGCGTTATCTGAAAGAAAACCAAGGTGGTGGCATGCTGTAAAATCATACAATCATGTAAAATTGAGCACTAGAGCACGAACACACAACCGCAGCTAGTGTCGATTGAGGAATGCAAGTTTACACCTATAGTCAACGCTAGGCATGGTTGGCACCTACAGTCAACGCATGTGTAGTGTAGGCCCAGCTCGGACCAGCCACTTTGATGCCCTGCCGAGTCGGCATGAGACTTTTTGAGACGACTCAAAAACACCATCACTGCATGTGCAGTGGGATTGATAGGCATGGTTGGCACCTACAGTCAACGCATGTGCAGTGGGATTGATAGGCATGGTTGGCACCTACAGTCAACGCATGTGCAGTGGGATTGATAGGCATGGTTGGCACCTACAGTCAACGCATGTGCAGTGGGATTGATAGGCATGGTTGGCACCTACAGTCAACGCATGTGCAGTGGGATTGATAGGCCCACCTCGGACCAGCCATTTTGATGCCCTGCCGGGTTGGCGTGAGTCGTGCTTGTTACCCTACTTGACTACAACATCCAATTATTTTGAGGCGCCTCAAAAATCGCTTTGACCATTTGACCCGTTGACCATTTTACCCGCTGACCAGGTGAACCATTGACCATTGTACCCGTTGACCATTTGACCAGTTTGAGGCGATTCGAGCCGAACAGGTTCGGATTCAACACGTGCTCTTGCCTTTTACCACGTACCTGCGATTTCTTTTAGAAGTTTAGTGAGGTGCATTGAGTCGGCGATAATGTAAGTGGGGACATCGTCGTCGACACTGTTGCAAACTGAAGAGGAAGGACATATAAGTGGGGTAAAAGAAAGTAGAAAGGAAGAAGAAAGAAAGAAGAAAGTATGTGTTGGGTAAGTATCAAAAAAATATTTCAAGCATCTACTTCGAGGGAAAATGCTAAATGATCAACAAGCCACGGAGACACTCACACGTACACCAGAACAAGCATCAGATGTGCTCGAATACTAAGTCCTTTCCCCAGAGACAATCACACATACACCGCGTCAAGCATCCGATGTGTTGGGTGCAAAATTTTTAATGTGGTTTGCACGTCAACCTACCGCCTATTCGGTGACAGTGAAGGGAAATGGGGTGTTGTTGTGTGAAGGTAATTTTGTGATGTGCATTTCATTTTGCATTTTGTGTGTGCGCATTTTGTGTGTGTTCTGTGCGCATTTGTTTTTGCATTTTGTGTTTTTCGTTTCCATTCGTAATTGCATTTTGTGTTAGTGCATTTTCATTTGCGTTTTCACTGTTCTCATGAAGCGCTCAAATGAGGCTCCCATGACGCGCTCAAATGAAGCTCTCATGAAGCGCTCAAATGAGGCTCCCATGACGCGCTCAAATGAAGCTCTCATGAAGCTCCAACGAGGCTGAAATGAGCCTCTCATGAAAGTCCCATTTGATTGCAATGTTCCATGCGTGGCATATGTGAGCGAATGGTGTACCGTGGGGTGTTTCTTTGGGGGTCGATATTTTGACTGGTCAACGAGGGTGTTGTTGACTTTCGTGCTGGTCAAGGTAAACAGAGCGCGAGAATCTGGACTGCGCGTGGGGTCCAGATCTTGCGCGTGCCCCTCAGGCTGCGCGCGTGTGTGAGGATTTGTTGCGATCGCGCACAGTGCGGACCCACGATCGCAACAAGACAGGGCGAAAGATCGCCCTGTCACGCGCTGTTTAGCGCACGGTCGCTGACGCGATCGCACTGTACAGCACGATCGAGATTTTTTCGGTCGTGCTGGATTTCCCCTCGGGGGTGCGCGTGGGTTGTGGGGGGTGCTGCAAGATTCCGAAGGGTGCTCGGAATTCACAGTTGAAATTACGAGTTGACTTACGGGACGGGAAATTTTTCGCGAATGTCACGCTGCCTTGCGTGATCATTTCACCACAGGTACAATTCGGTTACTCCGTTTTTCAAACGGTAAAAACCGTTATATAACTGTGAGCTCGCATGAAGACATTTGAGCTACATTGGAGCCACATGCGAGCCTCATGAGTGTACACATTTGACTCAGCAGGGGCGATTGTGACGAGTGCAATTTGAAGACAGTTTTTAACAACAGGAGGATATAGCCAAATGCTCAAGGAGTTGTGCAACTGTTTTCAAGATACAGCGTGGCGAAATCCTGCGAGCTAGTTAAACAACTGTTTTCTACTTGCTCCTGCATGTGCGTAGAATCTATAAAAATGTGTACTTGTGCCTGTCGAAATTAATCTAATGCATTCACGTTTTTTTCAAGCTTGAATTCTACTACTTTGTATTGACGAGAGTAGAAACAATGATGCTGCCGAAACTTTGCTCGACCAGTTTATTTGCTCTACAAGCATAAGCAAAGCATAACTACTCACTTGTATGCGCCCTTGGCTAGGAGGTGACACGCTGTCACGCTCGAAGGGCTGCAAGTGATGTTAAGTGTTGCTATTTTTTTTTTGTAGTTCCTGTTTAATCGCTTCCGCATAACGGTATAGCTGTTAACACGATGTGCTAAAAAAGTCCTTTTCACAGAGACACCCACACAAATTGGACCGCTGCAACCTAGTTTTTTTTCCCGCCATGCCATACCAGACCAGATTTTATTCAGCACCCTGCCATTTCTAGGGTACGACGCGGCAGCCACACTGCAGTGGCAATGTGACTTCGACCTGGAACTTTGATTCGACAGGGTGGCCCAAAACGAATCAAGACCCCTGCTTATAGGCTAACACAGCTGATATCTTCACCAAGGCCCTAGGGTATGGTGTTTCTACTCTGCCTCATTTGCTTACCCCTTGATTTTGCCTTGCAGTGTGATCACTGTACTGCCGGTCCAAGGCAGCATGCAGCTGCTGGCACACATCAATCACCTCCCTGCCTGCCTCCAGCCTCGCCATGCGCTACACCCCCCTTCATTGAATCAGTGACTCACATTCAATCCCTTTGGAGCGTGCCGTCTCCACGTGCCCATCCAAGGCAGCATGCAGCCACTGGCGCACGTCAGTCACCGCCTCATCCACCACTGCCCTGCCTGCCTCCAGCTTCGCCAGGTCCAACACGCGGTTGACCAGATGCAATGTATCCATTGCACACCCCCGTGCAGTGAGTAGGTCTGATAGCTCAGGGGGTTGGAGCGTCATGTCTGCCAAAGCATCGAGCATGCCTGGTGGAGGGAGGGGAGATTTTTGAGGCGCCTAAAAAATGGTCTGATAGCTCAGGGGGTTGGAGCGTCATGTCAGCCAAAGCATCGAGCATGCTTGGTGGAGGGAGGGGAGAGGGAGGGGTGCTTGAAGGATGGTGCGTAGCAACGTGACTTTTGAGTCGACTCAAAAGTCACCTCGTTACCGTGGCACACAAAGCATCGAGCAGGCCTGGTGGAGGGAGGGGAGAGGGGGGGGGTGCATGACGGACGGAGCGTAGCATCATCAAACAACGAGCATGCTTGGCGGAGGGAGGAAAGAGCGAGGGGTGCATGAAGGACGGTGCGTAGCATCATCAAACAACGAGCATGCTTGGCGGGAGATAGGGGAGAGGGAGGGGAGAGGGAGGGGAGAGGGAGGGGAGAGGGAGGGGAGAGGGAGGGGAGAGGGAGGGGAGAGGGAGGGGAGAGGGAGGGGAGAGGGAGGGGAGAGGGAGGGGAGAGGGAGGGGAGAGGGACGGGTGCATGGAGGACGGTGCGTAGCATCATCAAACAACGAGCAGGCTTGGCGGGAGATAGGGGAGAGGGAGGGGAGGGGGGGGGGGGAGAGGGAGGGGAGAGGGAGGGGAGAGGGAGGGGAGAGGGAGGGAGAGGGAGGGGAGGGGAGGGGAGAGGGAGGGGAGAGGGAGGGGAGAGGGAGGGGAGAGGGGGGGAGGGAGAGGGAGGGGAGAGGGAGGGGAGAGGGAGGAGGGGGGAGGGGAGGGGAGGGGGGAGAGGGAGGGGAGAGGGAGGGGAGAGGGAGGGGAGAGGGAGGGGAGAGGGACGGGTGCATGGAGGACGGTGCGTAGCATCATCAAACAACGAGCAGGCTTGGCGGGAGATAGGGATGATGGAAGAAGGGAGGATGGTGTCGAGAGGAAGTGATATGGACAAGGTGGGTTGGGTTGGGGCTGATAGCTCAAGGTTGACTTTTGAGTGCCAACGTGGTGCCAAGAGGACGTGATCAGGGCAAGTTGGGTTGGGGCTGATAGCTCAAGGGGTCGGAGAGGAGAGTCATGTTCGCAAGAGCATTGAGCATGCCTGTTGGGAGAGAGGGGTGTAGGAAATAAGCGTGTCATATCACGACGAAGGGTTAGCAATCAAGCGCCTCACAAGCAATGGCGAAGGAACTAAGGTTAGTGTTAGCAACCTTGGACCATCTAAAACAGCGGAAACAAACAACAGCAATGATAATGCAATGAGCATTTTGTCCTACCAGTGATCCCCGTCATCGGTGTCCTCAGCTCATGGGTCATGCACGCCACAATTGATGCCTTCACAACTGTTTCATGGTTTGTCTGGCATGCGGCTATCAAAGAACGTGTTCCAACGTACCAATGATATCCCGTCATCGGTGTCCTCGGCTCATGGGACATGCACGCCACAAACATGCTCTTTGACGCCTCAGCATCCTCTGCTCCCTCCAAATCTTCTTCATATGCGCTTAAGAAAACAAACGCGGTAATGCATGAACACCATACGTACCAATGATCCCCGTCATCGGTGTCCTCAGCTCATGGGACATGCACGCCACAAACATGCTGTTTGACGCCTCTGCATCCCCTGCTCCCTCCGAATCTTCTTCATATGCGCTTAAGAAAACAAACCCGGTAATGCAAGAACACCATACGTACCAATGATCCCCGTCATCGGTGTCCTGAGCTCATGGGACATGCACGCCACAAACATGCTCTTTGACGCCTCTGCATCCTCTGCTCCCTCCAAGTCTTCTTCATATGCGCTTAAGAAAACAAACCCGGTAATGCAAGAACACCATACGTACCAATGATCCCCGTCATCGGTGTCCTGAGCTCATGGGACATGCACGCCACAAACATGCTCTTTGACGGCTCTGCGTCCTCTGCTTCCTTCCTGAGCCTGTTTGCCTCCGCCATGTGCTGCTGCGTCTGGAAGAACTGTGCTCGCTGGATCCACGCCGCCAGCAGCACGAGCAGCACGAGGAGGAGCGCGACGAGGGCGATGAGGACGGGGATGCCCCACGATTGCCACACGCTGGGAGGCTGTGTGTACCTGGATGGGGGGGGGGATAACAGGAAGGTTGCTTATAGAGAATATTCACAAGGCAGACAGCAGCACGAGCAGCACGAGGAGGAGGGCGACGAGGGCGATAAGGACGGGGAGGCCCCACGACTGCCACCTGCTGGGAGGCTGCGTGTGCCTGGATGGGGGGGAGTAGCAGGAAAGTTGATCGTAAAGAAAATGCTTTACTATGCAGGGCACATGAAGAGGGCGATGAGGACGGGGACACACCACGACTGCCACGTGCTGGGAGGCTGTGTGTGCCTGGATGGGGGGGAAAACAGGAAGGTTGTCTATATACAATATTCACAAGGCGGGGCGGGGTACAGGAGGAGGGCGAAGAGGGCGATGCGATGAGGATGGGTATGCCCCATGGTTTTCACATGTTGGGAGGCTGTGTGTGCCTGGATGAGGGAATGTAAAGGTTATAAATGTATATATATATATACATCTTACCATGCATGCATATAGGAAAAGGGCGATGAGGAATAAAATGCCTCACACATGCTATATGCTGGGGGCCTGTGTGTGCCTGGGTGGGAGAATAGTAGTGAAGTTGCATGGATCTACTCTGCAAGTGCATAGGTAAATAATGCAAGGATTATTTCATCCAAAGGGGTGTGTGAGAACTATAACTAAAGTGCAAGAATAAAGGAACCAAAAAAGAAAGGAAGGAGCCGACATGCTCTGTTTTCTTCCAATGCTCGTCGAAAAAGCTCACCTGCACCAACCCTCATACTTGCGCACACCTGCTCCCAGCTTATCCAAATGCTTTTGAGTCAACCCAAAAGGGTTCAGATTAAGCTAACTTAAACTATGACTCACCTGCACCAACCCTCATACGCAACGCCTGCTCCCAGCTTATCCACATGCTTTTCAGTCAACCCAAAAGGGTTCAGATTAAGCTAGCTTAAAAAATGACTAACCTGCACCAACCCTCGTACTTGCACACGCCTGCTCCCAGCTTATCCTAATGCTTTTGAGTCAATCCAAAAGGGTTCAGATTAAGCTAACTTAACCAATGACTCACCTGCACCACCCTTCATACTTGCGCACGCCTGCTCCCAGCTCTTCTAAAGGCTCTATAGCCGGTCCCTCCCAGGGGCGAGTTTCGGACAGTGGAGAGGGGAGCATGTGAACGACAGGATCGGACCCACAATGAGTTTTATGACTCACCTGCACCACCCCTCATACTTGCGCACGCCTGCTCCCAGCTCTTCTAAAGGCACTATAGCCGGTCCCTCCCAGGGGCGAGTTTCGGACAGTGGAGAGGGGAGCATGTAGGGGCGAAGGTCGTTGGGACGGAAGTAGACGTGCGGTGGGACTGGAGAGACGATGGCGAAGAGAGAAGAAGGGTCTGTGACATCGTACATCTCGAAGGACTTGGATGGGTCTGGATGGACGGGAGGGAGGGGAAGAGAGGGGTTCAGAGGGGTTCAGAGGGGCTCTTTTGAGGCTCTCCTCAAAAGGTGGGTGGGTGTGGAGAGACGATGGCAAAGAGAGAAGAGGGGTCTGTGACATCGTACATCTCGAACGATTTTGACGAGTCTAGATGGAAGGGATGAGGGCGGGGGAAAGGAGGAGGGGGGGAGAGGAAGGAGAAGACAGGGCCACAGAGCAGACAGGAGAAGACAGGGCCTTACAGCAAATCTGTAGACCACAGAGCACAAGAGTAGGAGCCAAAGGTCATAGATGACGCATGAGGACATTTCTTAGCCGACTCAGAAGTCACCTTGCTTTGAGTCAAATCAAGAGGAACCTCTTTGCGTGGCTCGAGAATAGGAGCCAAAGGCCATAAATCACGTTACACGTATGCGGAAGGTGAAAAGTATGGATGGACCTGTGCATTCTACTCTTCAAGAAAGAAGAGGGGCCTGGCCTGTAACATCTTCCATTTGACTTTTGAGTCGACTCAAAAGTCACCTCGAAAGAAGAGGGGCCTGGCCTGTAACATCTTTTATTTGACTTTTGAGTCGACTCAAAAGTCACCTCGAAAGAAGAGGGGCCTGTAACATCTTCCGTTTTATCAACTTGTATGAAGATTTGTTTTGAGACGTCTCAAAACAAATCTTCATACACGTGGCTACTCTACTCTTTAAGAAAGAAGAGGGGCCTGTAACATCTTCCATTTGATCAACTTTGTAACATCATACATCTCGACCAACTTTGACGAGTGTAGATGGAGCGGAATGGTGGAGGGGAGCGTTTTGAAAGGAACGTGGGTTTCCCTAAACCAGGTGCATGCAACTTTGGAACCCACCAGGTGCATACAGCCCTCAACTCACCAGGTGCATACAGCCCTTAACTCACCAGGTGCATAGAGCTCCTTTAGAACCTTCTGTGCGAGGGATGTCACGTCAACAGATGCAGCAAGCGACCCATACACTGCTCTTGCCACTAACACCAGGTGCATACGGCCCTTCTCTCAGCCCGTAACTCACCAGGTGGCAGGTGCATACAGCCCTCAACTCACCAGGTGCATACAGCTCCTCTAGAACCTTCTGTGTGATGGATGTCACATCAACAGACGCAGCAAGCGTGCCATACACTGCTCCTGCCACTAACACCAGGTGCATACGGTCCTTCTCTCAGCCCTCAACTCACCAGGTGCAGGCTAGCCCTTAACTCACCAGGTGCATACAGCTCCTGTAGAACCTTCTGTGCAATGGATGTCACATCAACAGATGTAGCAAGTGTGCCATACACTGCCGATGCAGCTGGCTTGCTTGTGTTGGTCGGAGAGACACTGCGCCGAAGAGGAAAACCCAAGCCTGCAGTGGCGACAATGTCAGGGTTAAACAATGTGAGGGGTAAACAATGTGAGGGGTAAACAATGTGAGGGTTAAACAATGTGAGGGCTAAACAATTGAGGGTTAAACAATGTGAGGGCAAAACAATGTGAGAGTTAAGCAATGTGAGGGCACAACGATAAGGCACTGCAGTGGACTGAAGCTTCAAGTGCCGTTTATAAACAACCACCCAAACAACCGTTTATAAACCCGCCCAGACCAACCAGAGGCGAGGATTTCAAAATGCAAGTGCGTTGTATGCCACTTAGCTCTCGGCACTGACCATAACGAACAACAGCTCACTCACCAGAACTGTCTTATCTACGATAAAAAAATGGAATAATAATGATGATGATGATGATGATGATGATGATGATGATGATGATGATGATGATGATGATGATGATGATGATGATGATGATGATGATGATGATGATGATGATGATGATGATGATGATGATGATGATGATGATGATGATGATGATGATGATGATGATGATGATGATGATGATGATGATGATAATAATAATAATAATAATAATAATAATAATAATAAAGAAAAAAGGGACTCACCGAATCCAGCATGGTCGATGGGAGTAGCCATGGGATACGGCCACGTGTAGAGCGGTTTTCCCGCCACGGCAAGTGGAATCTCCGTAGAAAAGCGCTTCATTAGATCAATATGCCACGAGCCATTCGATGCCACGACAGTGGAGAAATCGAGGATCTTGGGGCAGTAGATGGGGCGGTGGGCACTGACGTTCTTGTTGTTGTCTTTTATGGTACTGTACAGTCGCTCAAATGTCGCCCTGCAGTAGTGGTGTTTGCGGTGTGGATTGGGAGGAAAGAGAAAAGAGGAGATTCTAAAGAGGGAGGAGAATCGCTTCATGAGGTCGAATATGCCAAAAGCCATTAGCGATGAAGCGATGTGCCACGAGCCATTGGATGCCACGACTGTCGAGAAATCGAGGATCTTGGGGCAGTAGATGGGGCGGTGGGCGCTGACGTTCTTGTTGTTGTCTTTTATGGTACCGTATGGCGCTCAAATGAAGCCCTGACGCAGTGATGTTCGTGGGGTGAACTGGGAGGAACGAGGAGATTGGAAATGCATGTTGAATTGACTTCTGCCCCTTCACCCCCTCGCTCCCTCACCTCTCCTCGTCCGTGACAAAGGCACAAGAACTCGCCCCCGTGTTTATTTTTTAGTCGACCTAAAAATAGAACCCCCTCCCTCGCTCACCTCTCCTTGTCCCAGGCAAAGGCACAAGAAGTTGCACCCGTGTTGCTCGGCTCTTTAGGCGCCTCAGGAAAGACTTTTGAGGCGCCTCAGGAAAGACTTTTGAGGCGCCTCGGGAAAGACTTTTGAGGCGCCTCAGGAAAGACTTTTGAGGCGCCTCGGGAAAGACTTTTGAGGCGCCTCAGGAAAGACTTTTGAGGCGCCTCAGGAAAGACTTTTGAGGCGCCTCAGGAAAAAGCATGTTGAATTGCCTTCTGCCCCTTCACCCCCTCCCTCTCTCACCTCTTCTCATCCGTGACAAAGTAGACACCCCCTCCCTCTCTCACCTCATAAGTTGTTTTGATGCGCCTCAGAAGTTGTTTTGAGGCGCCTTGAATGTTGTTTCGAGGCGCCTCAAAAGCCGTCCCTATATTCACAACCCTCTCACCTCTCCTCGTCCATGGCATAGACGCACCGAGATACCCCTGTGTTCCCTCCTCCCAATGCCCTCTCCCCTTCACCCCCTCCCTCTCTCACCTCCTCGTCCGTGACAAAGACGCATGAAGACGCCCCCGTGTTGCCGGGGCGAGCATAGGCGGTGCGAGTGAGGTATGCCTCCCACGAGCTGCCGTTCAAACACCTGTCCAACTCCCACTTGCCTCTCTGCCCCAGCCTGCCCATCACTGAGATGATGCCTGTGAGTGTCTGTGCTGGGGAGATAGGGAGAAGAGGAGAACATGAGGGCATTAGCATCATAACGGGGCATACAATGTTGGAACAAGGAGTCGTTATCCCACTTGCCTCTCTGCCCCAGCCTGCCCATCACTGATTTGATGCATGTGAGTGTGAGTGTCTGTGCTGGGAGGATACAGGGCAGGGCACCACGGCAATGACGAACCTGACTAGCCCCTGACACCAATCCAACCTGACTAACCCCTGACACCAATCCAACCTGACTTACCTCCCACACCAATCCAACGACTTACCTCTCACACAATCCAGCCTTACTTACCTCTCACACCAATAAAACCTTACGTACCTCTCACACCAATCCAGCCTTAAGTACCTCTCACACCAATCCAGCCTTACCTGCATCTGCCCCACATGGGTGAGCACGAGCTGCTGCAGCATGAGGGCGCGCTCCTTGCACCACACGCCCAGCGCCTCCTCTCTGTGATCCTCATACTGCGAGTGCTTCCAGTACAGCAGCGATGCTGCCACGGCCAGCCCACATAGCACCCACGCCGCCACCAGCACTGCGAACCAGGGGGCTGGGAGGGGGTTGAGACAGAGGAGAGAGAGGAAAGGGGGTAAGCTTTGAGGGTAAGTAATCCTCGTACTGCGAGTGCTTCCAGTAGAGTAGCGATGCTGCCATGCCCAGCCCACACAGCACCCACGCCGCCACCAGCACTGTGAACCAGGGGGCTGGGCGGGGTGAGTGGGGCGGGAGCGATGGGAGAAAGCGAGAGCAGGAAGAGCGAGAGAAGAATGGGGAAAGCTTAGAAGGGCAATCCTCGTTCTGCGAGTGTTTGGAGTAGAGCAGCCATGCTGGTGCCACGCCCGGCCCACACAGACAGCACCCACGCCGCTACCAGCATCGTGAACCAGGCCGCTGGGTGAGCGAGGGGCAAGGAGAGCGGGAGGCGGGAGTGAAGGGAATGAGAAGGGAATGAGAAGGGAATGAGAAGGGAATGAGAAGGGGATGAGAAGGGAATGAGAAGGGAATGAGAAGGGAATGAGAAGGGGATGAGAAGGGAATGAGAAGGGAATGAGAAGGGAATGAGAAGGGAATGAGAAGGGGATGAGAAGGGAATGAGAAGGGAATGAGAAGGGAATGAGAAGGGATTGAGAAGGGAATGAGAAGGGAATGAGAAGGGAATGAGAAGGGGATGAGAAGGGGATGAGAAGGGAATGAGAAGGGAATGAGAAGGGAATGAGAAGGGAATGAGAAGGGATTGAGAAGGGAATGAGAAGGGAATGAGAAGGGAATGAGAAGGGATGAGAAGGGGATGAGAAGGGAATGAGAAGGGAATGAGAAGGGAATGAGAAGGGAATGAGAAGGGAATGAGAAGGGAATGAGAAGGGAATGAGAAGGGGATGAGAAGGGAATGAGAAGGGAATGAGAAGGGAATGAGAAGGGAATGAGAAGGGAATGAGAAGGGGATGAGAGGGATGAGAGGGAATGAGAAGGGAATGAGAAGGGAATGAGAAGGGAATGAGAAGGGATGAGAAGGGAATGAGAAGGGATGAGAAGGGGATGAGAAGGGATGAGAAGGGGATGAGAAGGGAATGAGAAGGGGATGAGAAGGGAATGAGAAGGGAATGAGAAGGGGATGAGAAGGGAATGAGAAGGGGATGAGAAGGGAATGAGAAGGGGATGAAGGGATGAGAAGGGAATGAGAAGGGAATGAGAAGGGGATGTCGTTTCTGCCACTCTCACCCTGGAATAGCACTCCTGCAGAGAAAATGAGTGGACCTCCAGATGATGCAGTATCATCCCGTCTCTCTCTCTCATTGTTGACTGCACTAGCGTCGCTGCTAACTCCGTCCCTCGGCATGACGGTCGTTATCTTTCTAGCAGACGCTCTCGATCGTAGCCGTCTCTATTGCCGCTTCTAGCAGACGCTCTCGATCGTAGCCGTCTCTATTGCCGCTTCTAGCAGACGCTCTCGATCGTAGCCGACACTTCTAGAAGGCTACGCGGCTCGTGACGCTGCAGCTCGCCGGGGTTCTACAACTTGTAGAACTGTTGTGCTTGAAGCACTACTAGTGCTACCGGCGACGCTGTGACAGCACTGCTGTAAATTGCAAAAGTTGGGTTTGGCTCACTGGCAGAGGCCAGGCCGAGACTTTCTCTATGTCACGATCAATCAGACTCGGGGCAACGTGATCCGTGTGAACCTGTGTAATGCGTATACCTACTTTTACTAATCTAAAAGAACTGCCTTATTCCGCAGAGAGCAATTTGAAGTCCGAATCTTAAAGTCTTCCGGCCAGAAGTAATGTGGACTGTGGAAACACAGAACAGGCAGTGCTGGTTCCTGTGGAAGCCACTGGCTTGGGGGGATGCTCACAATCAGGGAAAGGCCTTGGGCGTCGGACGCCCTGGTGCACTGGGAAGCTTCCACCATTAAAAAGCGATTTGTACCACGAATCACCACGGCTTTGGTGCACGCACTCGCATGCGCCGGCACGCACCAGCTGGTGCACGCCCCCGCAACCGTGGTTCTTGGACGCTCTATTCGGGCCGAGGGCGTCGCCCTCGCACGCGGCACCAGCACGCCCCCACAACCGTGGTTCTTGGACATGTTTCCGAGAGGTAAAAGCTTCGAAACCCGGTCAACCCGGGCGTGCCGAGGAGTTGCGCACCATAGCGGATGATAATTAGGGCGTGTGAGGTATCTTTTTGGTACGCAAAATAGGTCTCACTTGCTTGGTTACCTTTTTCGTTAGTTAAGCGAACAAGGTCTTCCGAATTACCAAGTATCAGTACACACAACAATTTCGAACAGGAATCTGAACTGACTCGACTCAGAACGTGAACGTGAATGCGCACGCTGAATCGAACGTGTGTTCTTCTGAGCACATACGAAGAATGGTTCCGCGAATCCTTCGTTCTGCCGAAAACTGACAGCCAAAAGCATGGTCCAAGACTCACGACTTTACCGGGTAACCTACAACCCCTACGGGCGGGCCAGGGCAATCCCTAGAAGGTCAAATTTCCAGATCCGAACTTGGTTCGGTGATAACGACTCGTTGGAAAATCACACACGCGATCACGAAGCTTGCCTACACTTAGATTAAAACTCAAATGTTCATTCGATTAAAATATGTAGACTTATACTAATTTCAAATATCGCATGCGCCCTTAGGAAAGTGACCATTTGAAATATAGGTTCTAGAATCTAGAGTGAGATGGGTGAGGAGAATCTCTATATAGCCCATCCCTAGCCCATCTCCGCATTGCTCCCTGTCAAAAAGGGCAAATATAAATTTGACCCACTTGTCAAATATTATAGCCTGTAGTGGGTTGGGCTATATGGGGTACAACTAGTTAGGGTTAGGTTATGTACCCCAATTCTGTCAATGCAACACATTCCGCTGTAGTTCTCATTCTGACATGGTATCAGCAGTAGGTTAGCGCTCCTAGCCCTAGGCCCGCCCGTCCCTACCACTAGGGTTACCACTGCGCCCCGCCAGCCCGCCAGCGCCCTACCCCACGCCCCAGCCGGCGCGCCCCTCCCCTCCCCGCCCTTAGCCAGCGCGCACGCCAGCCAGCCAGCGCGCCAGCCAGCCAGCGCGCCAGCCAGCCAGCGCGCCAGCCAGCCGGCGCGCTGGCCAGCGAGCCTGCCAGCCAGCGCGCTAGCCCGCCAGCCAGCCAGCGTGCCAGCGCGCCAGCCAGCCCGCGCGCCAGCCCGCTTGCACGCCAGCCCGCCAGCGCGCCCGCCAGCGGGCGCACCAGCGAGCCCGCCAGCTCGCCTGCCAGCGCGCCCGCCAGCGAGCTCGCCAGCGCGCCCGCCAGCGCGCCCGCCAGCGCGCCCGCCAGCGCGCCGCGCCCGCCAGCGCTCACACATACATACTACTATAAGCATCAATTACACACAATGGCATCTAGGTGGTCAGCCTACAGCAGCTAAGCATGACAAGCCCCATGGAACCACAAGAGGCCACGGCTACATCCGGTCAGCCTCCAGAGCAGCGAGCATCCCTGTCAGAGCTCGCCACAGCTCCCGCACCACCAACGTACTTGCGCCGATCGCGTTGGCTGCAGACCCTGCGCGCAAATGACGGCGCAGGCCACGGACAGCGGCCTCAAGCTCCCCCACAGCCGCGAAACCTCCCACCCGGCGCGGGCGCAGCCAACACGGGCGCCAGGAGCATTCCGAGCTGGTCAGCAGCCTCAAGACAGTCCGCTCGCTGCCCGTCAAGAAGAACACCACGGGGAGGCTGAGACAGCGAGGCGTGCGCCTGGACCTGAACCAACAGGAGCGCGCGAAGGCCCTCCGCCAGCCTCCAAACTTGGCCAAGAGTTGCCGCAGGCACGCGCACCTGTGGGGGAAGGTGTCAGAATGTTGTATTTGTCTAGCCTGCAGTGGGGTACTCTATAGCGAGTACAGCCCAATCTAAGGTTTGCTATTTGTATCTCAACTGCTGCTAGTCCAAACCCCTCTTTCCTGTTTCTCGTTTTGCCTAGCTTTCTCGACATGCTATCAGAGCAGGTCGACCCTCCTGGGTCGATCCTGTGGGTGGGCCCACCACCTAAGCCTTCCGCTGCTACTGCTACTGCTACTGCTACTCTGTGTGTCGCACGCCACGGATTTTTTATCCCGCCGTGCGCCCCGAGGTGCGCGGCGGTTTTCTGCCCGCCGTGCGCCCCATGGCGCGCGGCGGTTTCCTGCCGTGGGGAGCCCGCGCGCGCCCCGCCCGTCCGTTGCGGCGCCCTGGGGAGCACGCGAGCGCCCCGCCCGTTCGTCGCGGCGCCCTCGGGAGCCCGCGTGCGCCCCGCCCGTTCGTCGCGGCGCCCTGGGGAGCACGCGAGCGCCCCGCCCGTTCGTCGCGGCGCCCTGGGGAGCCCGCGCGCGCCCCGCTCGGTCGTCGCGGCGCCCTGGGGAGCCCGCGCGCGCCCCGCTCGTTCGTCGCGGCGCCTTGGGGAGCCCGCACGCGCCCCGCCAGTCCGTCGCGGCGCCTTGGGGAGCCGCGCGCGTCCCCCCCCCCGCCAGTCCGCCGCGGCGCTCTGGGGAGCCGCGCGCGTCACTTCCCTCCCCCCGCCCCGTCCGTCCGTTTTGGCGCCCTGGGGTTGCGCGCGGTCCCCCTCTCGCCGTCCCCCGCGCTCCTGCCCCTATCCCACCCGTTTTAGGGTTTGGGGATGTGGAGTGTGGGGGTGGCGGGTGTGGGGGTGCCGGTTGTGTGCCCCGTCCCCTCCTTCTCCTCCTCCTCCGTCTCCCGCTGCTGCAGCTGCCGCTCAGGGGGGTGGGTGTGTGGGGAGCCGACGGAGTGGTACTAGGGGGGTGAAAGGGGAGTGGAGCTAGGGGCGAAGCAGGGGGTGTGTGTCGAGGGGTGTGGGACTGTTGGGGGAGGTTGAGCGGAGGCCGCCGTCGTGTCGTCTGCAGCGCCTGTATTCCGGGGTTCTGATAGCCACCGGTAGCTCAGAGAGCCGGTTGCACCTGTCGCCCGTGGGTCCGTTGCTCCTGTCGCTGCTGATCAGACGCAGAGCCTGTTACTCCTGTATTCCGGGGCCCTTGCTCCCGGTAGCCACTAGAGCTGCACCAGAGCCGTCTGTTGCCCGTGTGTCTGCAGCTTCAGTCGTCGCCTCCACTCTTCTCTCCTCTCGCCAGCCCTCCTCCTCCTCACTTGCCCTCTGTGACTGCCTCTAGTTTTGCTCATAAAATGTGAACTACTATTATGACTGCTTGTTGTGCTGATTACACCCCACTTTGGCTATGGGGGTGTGTCAGAATGTTGTATTTGTCTAGCCTGCAGTGGGGTACTCTATAGCGAGTACAGCCCAATCTAAGGTTTGCTATTTGTATCTCAACTGCTGCTAGTCCAAACCCCTCTTTCCTGTTTCTCGTTTTGCCTAGCTTTCTCGACAGAAGGGTCTCGCCTGCTAGGACAGGAAGGCGATCAGCAACAGCAGGAGGAGAATGATCAGTCAGAGGTGCCACACCAATCCCCGCCGCGGGCACAAACTCAAGGCCCGCCACAGGGGGCACCCAGGGCAGCCGTAGACGAGCCCCACCTTCAGATGTTGATGCAGCGGGAGCAGTCGGAGGAGGAGCAGCGGCGGGGGGCACGGGAACGGGGAGAGCAGGAGGTGAGGGGGCCACAGGCGCCGGAGCGTGGTGACGCGAGCTACCCTGGCTCGCCTGCTCGGCTCTCTCCTCGCGCAGAGCAGCCGAAACAACTCGCTGCACATCCGCTAACGTCAAGGGCGGCGCATGCAGCCCGCCCCCACCACGACCCCGTCCCCCCCTCCAACCACCATCGCCACGCGGGGCAGGCCAGTTCGGCTGCGGAGGCTGCCGACGAGGCGAATCTCGACGACGACGCGTCGAATCCCGCTCATCACGGGGCATTGGCGATTGCGGACGGGAGGAGCGACGATAGAGGGACTGTTGACGCGGAGCCGGCTGTACACCCGGAAGAGACGCGGGAGCAGGCACCAGACCAGGACCCCCCGGCTGGGCCTGGCCGCCGATGGTGGCTGCAGGCAGCGCGCCAGGCGTCGCAAGAGCAGCAGCAGACGGCGCTCCGGCGGATACGGCCTGGGGTGACAAAAGCGCCGGTGACGCCACGAAGGGTTGCACGGGGGCAGGCTCAACCACAGGGGCAGGAGGAGAGGCCTGAGCAGGCGCGGGATGAGGTACGGGAACGGACAGCGCAGCAGGCGCAGAAGCAGACGCCACCGCTGGCCTCTGCTCGTCCACCGCAGCGGGGGCAGGAGCAGACCCCCCAGCAGGTATAGGAACGGCCACCACCGCTGGCGCATGGGCAGTCACCACAACGTGTGGAGGCGCGCGAACAGCGGAAGGTGCGGATAACGATGCTACAATCGGAGCAGGTGGGACACAGGGCGAGGGGGCCGGGTCAGCAGGAGGCGCCGAGAGAGGAACAGGCCCGAGAGCAGGAGGAGACGACATCTCCGCAGTCACCGGCGCGGGAGCTGCCACGAGCGGAGGGGCAACGACAACAGACGCCGCGGCAAAAGGCCGTGGCGAGTACGGCAGCTCGTCGCCCAACGGCACAGGCATCGCGAGGAGGACGGGGCGGCAGACGCGGAAGGCAATCAGGACGGGGGGGCGGGCCCGAGAACGGCTTCCAGAGGGAGGCTAGGAGGGCTTTAAACCGAAGTGCTGAAGACAATGAGGATGAGGCAGGAGACCCTACATTTATACCGACCACCGAGCAGGAATCGAGTTCGGAAAGGGGAGGGGATGTAGAGGAAGAAGTTCGCGAAGATGGACGTCGTTCTAACCCAACCCCACGCCAAGCCGCCCCAGCCCCAAATGTGGTCGGCGAAGTGCAATCGCGGCAGGGAGCTGACACCAACACACAGTCACCACAGACCCGCCAATTTTCGCCAGAACAACTCGCAGAGGACGATGTGCGATTCGGCGAAGTAGAACAGTGG